TTTAATTTATTACACGCATTGATCGTCTTTGTCTGAAATGAAATTAGAAATGTTAAAAAAAAAAAAAAAAGAAGAAAAAATAAAAAGATAGGATAAAAAAGAAAAAATTACGACGAAAAAAAAGAATGAAGAAATAAGAAGTGAATTTTCTAGTTTCCAACGATCGAGAGAAATCTTAACTCGAATAAGGTGAAAGCTTTTCTTCCGACCATTGAAATCGCGTTTCTGAGTGATCGAAAAGTTTTCAACTATCGACTTGATAAATTAACTTTTCTTTGGCGTTCACGAAATTAACGTTATACGTTCTTCCTTAACGTTAAAGAAATAAAGACAAAATAATGTGTATGTGTGTATATGTGTGTGTGTGTGTGAGAGAGAGAAAGAAGATCCAAGCTAGGATCATCTATCTCTCTTTCTATTTCACCTTTCAAAAGGTCAACACAAATAAAACGTATACGATTGAACGTTCCTTTCGTTCGTTCGTTCGTTTGTAAAATATTTATTTATGTATGTACTCGTTAGAATCGTAAAAGTTAAACATTCAAGGTGAGTGTTTATCATCGGGTTATCAGTTTAGGTTTTGACTTCGAAATATACTAATGCGTTTCGTTCTTATTATGTATTACTTTTATAATACGCGTGTTTAATGTATTATTACTTTTTAATTAATTAATTAATATATATATATATATATATATATATATATATATATATATATATATATATATATGTAAGTATTATATGTGATAAAGTGTTATATGTGAATAGTGTTATATTTGATATAGTGTTCTATGTGATAAAGTGTTATATGTTAATAGTTATATGTGATATAGCATTATATGTGATACAAGTGTTATATGTGATATAATTGACACAAGTTACATGTGTGTATATAGTGTTATATGTGTTATAAGTGATACAAGTTATACATGTGATATAAGTGTARTAGAATCGTGTGTGTGTGTTAGTGAAATATCACTCGTGATAAAACATTCTAATCATAATTATTATTATTAGAAGTTTATCTTATTAGTGGTAAATATTACAAGTTGAATAATGAAATCTTATGCAACTTCAAATCGTATTTCCATTGAAGTTTATCTCTTATGTAAGTATAATAATAATAATTTATACTCTGATATTAGACTAACATTAGAATCTGATGATCGGCAGTCGAAGTTCGTTCGAAATGCATTAGAAAGTGTTACTTTCTACCAATATTATTTAACGAGGTAGTTTGAAATACAGGTGAACCAAAGTAACCTTCAGTTTCTGACATTTTAGAGAAGTTATTGTTAGTTGCATGAAGTTATAATTTCGAGAAATTCGAGCTGTACTACCACCCATTGTGTTTAGAATTTTCGAGTGACATCATTTCACTTGAACTGTTCCTTCACGTAACAATTCATTTTATAATTTTATAACATCATAATATTATAGTTAATTTAATATTAGATAGTTTAAAGACGTATAAAATGCATATTTAATATGACAATATTTGTATAA